AGGGCTTGTTTGGTGGTTAGGATAGAGAAGATATCATAAATATGGTATCATATCCTATTTTTATCCTTTGTTTGGTGAGCCAATAAGATATTATAAGTTTATCCTATTTATTCATTTTATCCTTTCTGCATGTTATTTTACGGGGACTCAATTTAGGAATGAATAGGATATGGTATCAAATATCACATCTCTCTCAATCCCTAAGCACGTGTAGATATCGACATCGGCAATTAGACATCTCTACCACCTAGTGTCGCCACCACCAGCCATCAATCAACTACCACGATCATACCATGAGCTACCAGCTTGAGCTGCCGCTACCATTATCGGCTACTGTCATCCCAACCACTATCGCCATCCATCACAACCCATAATTGACTCTGGTTACTGTCATCATTGTCACCACCACTACCTACACACGTCACCCGCACCAGCCAGTCACCACCATTGTCATCTTCGCTGTCGCCATTGTCCACTGCTAATACCCACCACCACCTCCATCCACTTGGCACCAACCACCACTACCCCCACTGCCATCAGTTAGCCACCATATTTGTCACCTGTCATCGTTGTCATGTCACCACCACCAATTGCCACCAAACTTCATAACCGCCACCAACACCTCTACGTGCCACTACTGTACTCGTCACTGCCACTAGCCACATGCCAACAATATTAATAATAAATTCAAAACTTAATTTCAAAAAATTTATTTGGCAAGAATATCATTCTTGTTGCATTTACAGTTGGCCCATTCTACATGACCCAACCATTGATTCAAGAAACTTGTAGTCAACTAGAATTGTGGCCTAATAAGTATGGCTCAATTGTTGAAAGAGGAAATGATTTGAAATACAACAAATTACAATTGAATCCAAGTCTCAATAAAGCAGAAGATGTGATTGTGATTTGTTTGGAAATAAAAGAAAAGTAACATATTTGGCGTGATTTGAGATTAAAGATTTGGGATGTTTTTTGAATTATTTATTTGTAATTTTTTATTTATTTTTAGATGTTAATTATTGGTATATTTATTTTAGGAAGTTTTATTATTTTTAAAATTTTAGATTTAGAATTTTGAATCAATTTGTAATTAGTCTATAAATGGGTGCTTATGACCCTTATTCTAGGAGTTGAATTTTGTTATTTTGTTAATAGAAATTGAGAACCAGAGGGTTACTCTTTTATAAAAATCATAACTTTCTGTTTAGCCACTTTTTCTATGCGCTTTCGACATCAAATGGTATCAGAGCAATAGGTTGCCTTCAACCAATGGCTGAACAGAATCGTGGAGGTCGACGACTACGGAGTCACGAGGGTAGGGAACATGGATTCGTTCCTGAAGAATATAGACAACTGCGTCAAATTGACCCACGAGACATAAAAAATGAAGAGCTTGGAAGGCGGATCTAGGATTTGAAGCAACAACTTGAGCAAGCGTTGGACAAGAAAATCTAAGTTTTGAAACGACTATGTGTGCGGGCACAGAGAAAGAGAATTCAAGATTTTGAGCGTCGACTCGTGCGGATATGCATGAAAATTTATTTAAATTTTGAAGCAAACTCTTGTGGAGGTGCAGAGCATGGAAATTCAATATTTGGAGCGGCGACTTGCGTGGACAAAGTTAGGCATTCAATCCGAAGAAAGAATGGAGTTAGATGATGCATCTGATGACGAAGAAGATGACATCAATCCCTTGGAGATTCTAAACCAGGGACAGAATTGGGAAGTACAATATGGAAATCAGTCCACTTTTCAAGATATCGAGATGCAATTCAGGATTCCTGACTTTGAAGTCTATGATCATAATCCAGCTTATGATGATTATCCGATCTATGATGATAATCCAATTTATGATGAGTATCCGATTGTTGATAATTATCCCATTTATGATGATTATCCATCTTATAATGAAGAATCAGTTTATGATGATAATCCATTCTATAATAAATCTGATGGAGAATCAGATTATAAAGAAGATTTATCATTTGAGTTTTTGTCTAAAAAAATTGAGATCAGTGAAGATAAACAAGATTCGAGGACGAATCTTTTCCTAGCAGGGGAGAATGATGCACTTACAGTTGGCCTATTGTACATGGCCCAACCATTGATTCAAGAAACTCGTAGTCAACTAGAATTGTGGCCTAATAACTATGGCCCAATTGTTGAAAGAGGCAATGATTTGAAATATTTTAAATTACAATCGAATCCAAGTCCCAATAAACATAGTTTTTAGAATCTTGATTTATCACTACGATCTTACATTTTTACGATTTTTTTCATCAAAACGATTTTACCAATATTCCAAACGCTTTTACGTTTTTATGATTTTTTACGATTTTTTTGAGTTACGATTTTACATTTTACAATTTTTTAGTCCCCTTTCGATTTTACTTAAAATCTCGATTTTAACAACATTGCCAATAAAGCAGCAGATGTGATTGTGATTTGTTTGGGAAGAAAAGGAAAGCAACAAATTTGACAAGATTTGAGATTAAAGATTTGGGATGTATTCTGAATTATTTATTTGTAATTTTTTATTTATTTTTAGATGTTAATTACTGTTATATTTATTTTAGGAAGTTTTACTATTTTTAGAATTTTAGATTTATAATTTTGAATCAATTTGTAATTAGTCTATAAAAGGGTGCTTATGACCCTTATTCTAGGAGTTGAATTTTGTTATTTTGTTAATAGAAATTGAGAATCGGAGGTTTACTCTCCACTTTTTCTATGCGCTTTCGGCATCAATTCTTTTATTTTGAAAATATTTTTAAGTTATTTATGTAGTTGAATATTTTTTTTTAAAAATTGTGGTTTTTAAATTTTTCTAATAATTTATAATAAGAATAAATGATTAAATTAGTCAAGAAAGCAATTTAAAAATCAATTTTGAAAAAATTATATTAAGTTCTTTTAAAAAGGATATTTTTATTTATTTATATCGACACTATATGATGCATCTTAAGCACTAAATAAGATAACATTATCCCATTAGACTACTTATCTAATGCATATCAAATACAAGATAAAATATGAGCTTACCATACTCATATCTTTTTCTACCCTTATATTTTATGGTTTAATTATGTGTAAATATATTTTATTCAATTTATGGTTTTAGGTTAACAACTAATGGATGTAGATCGTATCAATATTTCTCTTATGAATTTGGAAACTAATCTCATTTTGGACAACAGTTTGGTAACCGGTTCTAACTTTCTTGGTATGTCACAATCTTCTATTGTTAAAGAAGTCATTGTCGAGTCTCAATTTGGAATGGAATTTGATTCTTTGAAAAAAGTTCAACAATTATATACATTATTTGCTAAGGAAAAAGGTTTTGGGATTCGTGCCCGCTCTAGTAAGAAGAATTATTGCATTTTTGTGTGTGTGTTAAGGAAGGTGAAAACAAGATAAAAAGTGGTAACATGTGAGAAGTTAAGACAAAGTCTTCAACGATATGCTCAAGATGTCAAGACTCTCTTAGTGTGTCAAAGGATCGAGACGTATGAGTTATAAAATCTTTTGACAACAATCATAGTCATATTATGGCTAGTCTTAAGAGTGTGTCTTATTTGAGGTGTCATAAAAAAATGAATGATGCAGCAAAAAATCTTGTTGAGAAGTTCAATGAAGAAGGTTTACCAACCGGAGAGGTTGCTGCAATGTTTAATGGAAGTGATTCAGCTTTTTACAATAGAGATTGTTGGAACCATTTGAGGAATGTTCGGAGGAAGAATTTGGATATTGGAGATGCATAAGCTGTTTTTAATTATTGTAAACAAAAGCAAGCTCAAAATTCTAAATTTTTCTATGCAATACAATGCGATGATGATCATAGAATGATAAACTTTTTTTGGGTGGATGCTAGATCAAGGTTTGCTTATCAACAATTTGGAGAGGTATTACTTTTGATACAACATATAGAATAAACAATTACAACATTCCATTTGCCCCATTTACTGGGTTGAGTCATCAGTTTCAATCAATTTTATTTGGTTGTGCATTATTGCAAGATGAGTCTAAAAAAACTTTTATATGGTTATTTGAAACTTGGTTTGAAGCAATAAAGGTAAAGAAGCCTATTTCTATAATAATTGATCAAGATTTAGCTATTGGAGCTGTTGTGGCCAAGGTATTTCTAGAATCTCGTCATCGTCTATGCTCGTGGCACATTAGAAAGAAGTTTTTTAAAAAACTTGTACACCTATATCACAAAAATTCTATATTCAAGCGTGCGTTGAAGAGTGCATTCGAGAATCATCAACTATCAAGGATTTTGAAGATGATTGGCAGCGTATAATAGGTGTGTATAACTTGCAAAAAAATGAATGGCTTTAAAGATTATTTGAAATTAGAGAGTCATGGATACCAGTTTATAATCGAAGCACTTTTTTTGCTGTTATGAATACTACACAGAGAAGTGAGAGCATCAATTCTTTTTTCGACTCTTTTGTTAATCAACCATAACATTACGAGACTTTGTGGTAAAATTAGAGTAGGCCATTAACAATCGCTATGAAGCTAAAAACAGAGAGAACTTTAAGTCTTGACATAAGTCACATATTTTGAGTATTGGATCGAAAATTGAAGAGCATATTGCATCAATCTACACTAGAAATGTGTTTGGAAAGTTTCATAATGGCTTGAAAATGTCAACAATATTACAAAGGAGAAGATTGAGTATCGAGTTTCTAATTGTTTTAATGTTCAAGATAGTTCCATTGTTAAAATAAATTTAGAGTCAAAGAGTGTTACATGTGGCTGTCAACTTTTTGAATTTATGGGAATACTATGCAGATACATTTTAGTAATTTTTCAAGCAAGGGACAAATTGCAAACACCATGAGCAGAAATTTCCAGTTCAAGACTTGATTTTCAGTGAATCTCAATTTCTCTATCCTAATATCTTTTGAGTGCTTCAGTTCTACGACTTTGTAGATTCCAAAAAGCAAGTGAATGTCTAAAATCTACAACCTAATTATATCCTCGTCCTTTTAGGCTGCAAGTTCAGTTTGCCTATTAACCAATTCATCTAAAGCTTCCTTCATCCAAGCATATGGCCATATTTCTTTTGCTTCAGCCACAGTCATCTGCATGATGCAAATCAATGAAAATTAAGTACAACAACAAAATAAGTGTTACCTAATTAATATATTGCAATTGGAATATGAATTTAAAGATAAATATACTATATACAATTACCCATCTTCGCTTTCTTGTGTTTATCTTTGTCCAATTATCCAACTCCTTACTAACAAGCAAAGGGAACATATATGCCTCATGAATTGTAGGTTGGCATTTGCTCTTATAACACCATTTATTATCCATTTTACTTTGCAAGAAAGCAACCAAGAAAAATAAGATAAGAATCAAAGGCCTAACTATTTGGAAAAAAACTCAAATCTAGAAAGTGCTTATAGATACTAACTTCAACATAGCCAACAACCCCAGCTTCTTCTATTGTCTCTCTTAAAGCAGCCAGTTCCATGGATTCATCACTTTGCCAACCACCCTGAGGCCAAACAACATAGACAGGATAGATGTCAACTTTTGTCATAATTTTTGTCAACTTTTTCCCACTTACCCAGTTATATATGCAAATACCACGTTCAAGTTGGTAAACCTCAACAGTGCATTTTGTGCATTTTTGCACTTGATTCTCAATTGCTAGGCAAAAGAGATTGGTGGGAAAGTTTTTATAAACCCTCTACCAAACAAAGACAACATCAATTCCCAAACTCAGATGGATGGGCATCTCTACCAAAAACTTCAACCAAACACTACCTTAACCCATTTAAGAAAAACCTAATTGAAGAAACCTTCTAAATTTCAAAGCGTACTCTGGTGTCTATGCGTGTTCAAGTAGAGAGCTTGCATCATGTGAAGAAAACTAAAAAAATGGAAAGTGGGTGTGGACATTGGGTACGTGTTTCTGCACAGAAGTTGGAGGGTCGTGGAAGTAAAAAAGAAGAAGAAGGGGGGACATCTATCCACTTAGGCTTTGTTTGAGAGTTTGGAGGGGAGGGGAGGGGAAGGAAGGGGATCCAAGGGGGAGGGAGGGGAAGGAAGTTGAGTTGAAAAAGTGATAAAGGAGGAAAATTGATGGTTAATGAGATATTTTACTATTTTATCCCTTTTTAAATTAATATAATTATTATATTTTACAAATTAAATCAAATTTAAAATATCTAACAAAATTATGTATGTACTTTTCACAACACCAAAAAAGAATTTTCGATGAAATTTCTACGTTGGAAACGATGAATATTTCATCACAAAATTATTTTTTTTGTCAAAATACTTTTCGTCGAAAAGCGACAGAATTTTTTCTTTGATGAAAATTTTTACAAAAATTAATTTTCTATCATAATTTTCGACTAAATTCTATCAAAAATTTTGATGAAAATGATTTCCTCCATCAAATATATTAAACGAAAAAAGAATTCTGTCAAAATTTTGACGGAATGTTCTCCGTTCAGAATTTCAATGGAAATGTGTTATGACGAAATTTTCGACGAAAATTATTTTGTCAAAAATTTTGAGAGAAATGTTTCATTCGAAACTTTCGACGAAATTTAGATTCTGTAAAGAATTTTGACACAATATTTTTTCCGTCAAAATTTTTGATCGAAATATTTTTCGACAAAATTTTTTACGAAAATATTTTTTGTCTAAATTTTTTGACAGAAATATATTCCGTTGAAAATTTTGATGGAAATATTTTTTTATCAAAAAAATTGACACAGATATTTTCGTCGAATTTTTTTGATGGAAATGTGTTTTGTTAAAAATTTCGACAGAAATTGTTTTGTCAAAAAGTTTAACGAAAATGAGTTTTCGACGGAATTTGAATTCTGTAAAGAATTTTGATGAAATTTTTTTCCGTAAATTTTTTTCGATGGAAATGTGTTTCGTTCAAAATTTTGATGAAAATAATTTTCGTGAAATATTTCGATGAATATGTTTTTTTGTGAAATGTTTTGACGAAATTTAGATTCTGTCAAAAAATTTGACAAAAAAAATTTTCGGTAAATTTTTTTTACAAAAATGATTTTAGTCACTAATTTTGATAGAAATATTTTTCATCAAAATTTTTTGCGGAAAATTTTGATGAAATGTTTTCCGTAAAAAATTTTGACGTAAATTTTTACGCCGAATGTTTTCGATGAAAATGTGTTTCGTCAAAATTTTGGACGGAAATATTTTCGTTGAAAGTTTTGTCGAAATAATAAAATAATTTTGACTGAATTTTTTTTCCATAAAAAATTTATGTTAGTGACTGGCAAAATCTGATTTCGTCTCTAATGTCATCTTTAGTTTTGAGGAAATTTTTTGACGTATATGATTTTCATGAAAAAATGTATCACTGTTTTTTGTCGAAATATTTTTCGTCGCTAAATTTTGTCTGTATTTGAGACTTTTATAATAATGTCATATTTAAAAATGATTCACAATTATGTAGTTTTCACATTTTAATGCTAATGGTATATAAGTAATTTTTTATATTTCTTTCCCAAATTAGGGGAACTTTAATTTTAAGAAGAAGGAAGGTTTTGGAGGATTTAGTAAAAATCCCCAATTTCTTCCTCTTCTTTTTTTAAACTCCCAAACAAGGGAAGGGCTTACTAAAACCCTCTATTTCCTTTCATTCCCCTCATAAAACCAACTCCTAAACAAATGCTTAAAGGGTATAACCATATATTATTTTAGATAGTAATGGTTGATTTTTGTCCATCAACAGTCATAATTTATTGGGTCAAACTTAATAGGCCAAACTTATTATTAATTAATTATTAATTTTGATCCAATAAATTATAACTGTTGATTGACAGAAATCAACAGTTAGGCTCTAAAACGACATATGGTTATATCCTTTAAAAGGATAGATGTTTTTGCCAAAAAAAAAGAAAAAAAGAAGAAAAGTAAAATACCTTTTGGGTCCTCGACAAAAATTACGGGACCCATTTTAACCCACTAGAAAAAAGTTAACATTTAATTCCTCTGAAATTCAAAAAAATGAGTTGACTTTTTTTCCCTAAGAGATTAAATTGGGTAATATGATATTTGTAGAGAACGCAGAAGATACTTTACTCAAAAAATATATTTCTATGTCACATGCCCACTGGTTTTTGTTAATCCTGACTGTTAGGTTGAAGTGAAATAGACGGCTCAAATGGAGTGTAAGATTAAAACTCTTACACTAGTGTAAAATGATCTCTCCCCATATGTGTGTGTATATATATATTTATATAGGAATAGGATCATTTGACACCGGTGTCAAACAAAAAGTTTGACACCTCTTCTAAGAGTCATTTATTTTTCCTTGATTTAACGACTCTGATTTGTAAGCATGTTCGTCGTTGATCTGCCTTAATCTAACAGTCCTTGTATAAGGGGTCAAACATTTTGACACCGATGTCAAACAAAAAAATTGACACCTCTTCTAAGAGTCATTGATTTTGCCTTGATCTAACGACTCTGATTTGTAAGCATGTGCGCCGTTGATCTGCCTTAATCTAACAGTCCTCGTATAAGGTGTCAAACATTTTGTTTGATACCAGTATCAAATAATCGGGTTATATTGAGATAGAGAATAGGGTTATATTGACAAACTTTTTTTTTTACAAACTTACATATTACACTATGTTTTACTGTTAATACTTTACTCAAAAGTGTATTACCGGTCAGACATAATATAATTTTTAAGAGTTTGTAAACAAATTTTTTGAAAATATAACATTTCCTATATATATATATGAGCTTATCGTTTCTCAAGCTGCTTGAGATAATTTTATCTTCGGCTACTAAAATATAACCGTACAAAGATGGATCAATGGTGATAAAGGAAGAGAGAGAAAAAGGAAATCATAACCATTCAAAAGTGAATCAATTAATATAAGAAAATAAATAAACAAAATGACTTAATTTTGGGGTAGCCGAAGATGAACTTATCTCATGTTGTCGGAGAAATATTTTTTCATATATATATATATATATATATATATATATATATATATATATATATAAACACCAATGACGGTTACATTATTACTAAGTGACTCTTAATCTAAAAGACAAGTCAGCAATTTGACACCATAATAGTTTAAAAACAAGGGAAATTGTTTTCTCGTGTAGGAAATAACCATATCATGTTATATATATATATATATATATATATATATATATATATATATATATATATATATATATATATATAGGGTTCGTTTTTTCTGCAGTTACTGCAGATAAGTTATCTGCAGTAAGCCAATACGACGTCGTTTTGGGACGAAAATCTTGGTGTTTTTGTAATTTTAATTTATTTCAGGGTTATAATAGTCTTTATATTTATAATTTTTTAAGATTTCAATACCAAAACGACGTCGTTTTGGGAATAAATGCAGATAATTTATCTGCATTAACTGCAGAAATATTTTTTCCATATATATATATATATATATATATATATAAACACCAATGAGAGTTACATTATTACTAAGTGACTCTTAATCTAAAAGACAAGTTAACAATTTGACACCATAATAGTTTAAAAACAAGGGAAATTGTTTTCTCGTGTAGGAGATAACTATATCATGTTATAGAGACATAAAAAGATATGTCTGTAATTTTTTTTTTTTAACTTATGGGCTTCACATTTTTTGTTAATGTAGAAAAAAAAACTTCTCTCTTATTAAATGAGAGAAATATTAACCAAAAAACAATTAGTAAAAGATTCTTGGAATTTAATGACACATAAAGTCAATTTCACTATTCAAGTTACATAATGATCCTGTGTAGCCGTTTAGATGTCAACGAGAGTGATAGTTCTAAATTTATAATATAGCTAAAATTGACTAGGAAAATTTGCCTGTTACACTTTCCATTTTGCACCGATCTTAATTAAATCGATCAATTGGTTAGTACTTAGTAGGCTTAGTTTCCTTTTCGCTTATCCAATTATATATAGTAATAGCGGAAAACTGAATCTCGGGCCAATTTTTATTTAATTCCTTATCCTGAATGGCCTGATGCACGGCATGCCTGTCGGGCAGTTATAGCCCAAATTAATGAGTGGTGGTAGGTAGGAGTGTTAAACGAGCTATGGGTCTTACAAGAGTCTTTGGCTCGGCTCGTGAAGACCTGAGCTTATATGTCTAAAATTGATTGTTGGACCCAGGCTTGGACTTGTATAAAAGCTCGTTTAATAAAAAAGTCTCAGGCTCCAATTCAAAAGCTCGGCCTTAGAGCCTCTCAGACTTGCCTAATATATTTTTTTTTTATTTTTTTTTATATTTTTTATACTACTTGTGATAGCACTCTCTCTCTTCTCAATTCATTTCATCCCATTTTATTAATTAAACAGACTTTTTGAATGATTTTATGTTATATTATGCTATTTCGATATACATTAAATTTATGAATATTTATGGAATTACTAGTGCTGTTGATTGTAGATTTTGTTTGGGTAAATTTTTGTTGTCTTAATTTTTTTAAACAGGCTAACAGGCTAAACCAGACTTTTATTTTTTGTGAATGAGTCAGGCCACAGGCTGATATTATATTCGTAACAGGTAACAGGCTAAGGCCAGTCTGACACATTTGAATACAGGCTTGGCCCGTTAAGACCAAAGCTCGGCTCGACTCGTTAACACCGCTAGTGGCAGGTTTTGTTGTTACATAATAGCATCACCACATTTTATATATGGGCAACATGTTTTTATATTGGTATAAAATGAGAGTGGATCCTCTCATGTGCTAATTAACATGACCATGTCATGTGAGATAATCATAACCATATATGGGTGAGTTAATGGTGATAAGGGAGGAGAGAGAAAAAATATAAGGATAGGAAGTTACACAATCATCACCGTTGATTTAATTATTAATGGTTAAGATCCTCCCACATGACATGATAATGTTAAATTACACATGAGAGGATCTATTTCCGTATAAGATTAATAAGTCTTATACTGTATTTTAATTGTTGATGGACGAAAATTATCTGTTGTCATTTGTAGTGTAATTAATAATTAATTAATATTAACTAATTCATATGACTTCTTAAATTATAACGGGTGGATGCACGAAAATCAACGGTTGGGATGTGGTGTAAAATAATCCTGATCCTTTATAGTGCATTTTGACAATATTCTCCCGCGAGAATATAGTGCAAAAACATTACAATGGTGTTCTGCAGGTGTTCTCCTGGGAGAACATAGGCAAAATTTTTTGTGCACTATATTCTCGCGGGAGAATATAGTGCAATGGACCTAATTTACATCAAGTCACTTGATACTCACTAAACCCATATATATATATATATATATATATTTGAGAAAAATATTTTTTCAATAACTTGAGATAAGTTTATTTCAAGTTATCCCTTTTAACTATGTATTACGTGTAATACATAGTTATAACATTAAAGTTATTTTTTTTCCTCTCTCCACATTAGCATATAAGTTTTGAAAAGTGACGAGCAAATAGAAGAAAAAAGCAACTTTAATCTTATAACTATGTACTACCTATAGTAAATAACTAAAAGAGATAGCTTAATTTAAGCTTATCTTAAGTGTCTGGAAAATTGTTAACCTATATATAGTGAAAGGATTTGTTTACAATTTTTTTTTACAAATTACACTAAGTATGACAAGTCATACACTCTTGATTGAAGTATGACCGGTTATACTTAGTATAGTTTGTAAACAAAAAATTTGTAAATATAATCTTTTCTTATATATATATATATGAGCTTATCATTTCTGCAGCTGCCGTAGATAACACTCTCTACAGCTGACACAGAAAAGTGGGCCCCATGACGTTTAAAAAAAAAAAAAAACAAGGATCCGGTGCTGTATCCAAGGATCCGCACTGGCTAGCTGTAGATGCAGCGTCTGCAGAAATCATTTTGCATATATATATATATATATATATATATATATATACCAACTCCATCTTTAGACGATCACGTGTATTCACCTAACCACTGAGGTGCAATTTATTGAGAGGATGGAAGGATAAATATAAAGTTAAGATCTCTTATTTCTATATTCCAGTCCATTAATCCAAACCTCGAAAGCTCACAAAATGAGAAACTATTTGCAATTTCTTTCGCCTCAGATCTTGTGTTTTATATTTTTCAGTGTCATGTATCTAGTTCAAACAAAATCCACTATTGAACCATGTAACTCCTCAGACTCCTGCCCCTCTCTTCTCTCTTATCTTTTGCCTTGGGACTCCAAGCTCTCTGAAATTGCAACTCGCTTCCATGTAAATATTTCTGATATCTTGGCTGCAAACTCTGTCTACCCCATAACACCATCATGTGCACATAGAATCCTTGGTGCCAAATCGATAGTAAAAATACCAATTTCATGTCCTTGTCTGAATGGTATCCGAAGGTCTATGTCAACCATTTACACTGTTGAGGCAGCTGATACCCTTGCATCCATATCAGATGGTTATGGTGGGCTAGTTGGTGCTGAACAAATTCAGATTGTGAATGGCATCAATGCTACAAACCCGTTGACAAATGGAGGCAGCCTTATTATACCATTGCCATGCACATGTTTCAACAATGTCAACAATGGGGGAACAGCAATTTATATTTCATATGTGGTGCAGAAGGAGGAGAGCTTAGGAAGCATAGCAACAGTTTTTGGTACTACTATTTCAGACTTGGAAACTGTAAATGGTCTTGGCCAAGCTGCAGTAGATCCAGGAGACATACTATCTGTTCCTATTGCAGGTTGGTACATATCAAAATCACTGCACTAGCCAGTAAGTACACATGTACTTACTATCATTTTGATTGTAGAGTTACACTTAGAAGAGAAAACTTTTGGTGCTATAGTTATAGGTACATTCATATTAAAATAAGAAAATTTTTGGGATTTAAAAGAAATTATATAAAAAATATGGGTTAAAATGATTTTTTTTTTCTTTTTAATTAAAAGAGAGTACCGAGTAGTATTGAAGAAATTGAGACATCTTAATAACTATAATTTTCAATTTAAGATGAACTGAGGTGTTTGGTTGAAGGATTATTTTGGGATTGATGGGAAAATGTAAGTGGATATTGGAGAATATTACGTTTGGTTCATGTTTTTTCAAAAAAATACTAGGCAAATGGGATAGATGGGGAAATGACTTTTGTGTTGATTTTTGGATGAAATTCACTGTTACAGAATACCACTTGAGATGTGGTATTTTGAGATACCTGGAGAAGTGAAAAAATAGGTGCAAAGTTTCTCCCGAACATAGATTTTGCAAATTTAAATAATTTTTCCTGGTAATATTTCGGTCAACCAAACAACTTTTTTTACATTTTCCTACCAAACTCTATTTCCAACCATTTCTCTAGTAATTACATTTCCCTAGTATTCAAAAATTTTCTCTTCAACCAAATATCCCCTAAGTGAAAGATCTTAACCCCCTTTAAAATTCTTTTTACTCTTAATTAATTATTCTGCTTTTTAATTTACAAGGGGGCCCGAGCCCAACTAACGAGGAGCAAAACGATTGAAAATTACCCCCCCCCCACCCCACCACAAAAAAGCCAGCTACTTGATGTCATTATTACAAATAGAAAGAACATAAAAAATTGCTAGTTAATGCTAAGCCTCAATAAAATTAGAGTTATATTTATCTCGTGTTGTACAAGAGAAGAGCAAATTTCCTACACATACTAGGGGTAAGTTCTTCTTAAGTTTTTCAGAAAAAGACTTAGCCAATTCTACTCTAATCCATTCCCACTCTTGTGAAGTTTTAATGCTGAAGACTTCACTCTTCTAAACACATTTACCTAACCTTATTCTTCACCTATTGAGCGCATAGCAAGCCTCTTTGTGATGGTCAATTGGTGGCTTGACAAGAAGAGTTCTTGCATTTTGACGTGGGTGGTGTGAATCAACGTTAGAATGTTTGAATCCTTCAAACCTAACACTGATCGTTAGGGGTGAGTCTCACATTTATTTTTTCTCTCCTATCTTATTCTTACTTATAAGTCTCATTTAATTTTATTTCTGCTACATGAGATAATTTTTTCTTACGATAAAAGAAAATTATTCCTGATAAAATGATGCACCGAAACATATTTACTGCTTACGTTAGATGAAAAAGGCTATTCACACACCAAAATAAAGGCAAGTACAAACTTTTCACTGACTAAATTCTATTTTGCTACTTCAGAGAGAGAGAGAGAGATGGTAGACAATTCAACTTTGAAATCTCAGAAAAAATTTTGGTGTGTGTCAATAACCCTTTTCTATTAGAAATTGGATGAGATTGGGTTCCCTAGAGTTTCACACTTCTGATCTAAGTAGTAAATGTGGATAATCGTGTAAAACAAAAATAACATAATAATAACTCCTATGAAGGAAGAGGACCACAAAGAAAGTAAGGGCAGACAGGTAATTGCAATTCTTTGATACTTTGAAGGCCTTAGAAGAATCTTTTAGTCCATGGCTTCTATTTATATTAGTTTGTTTTTCATTTCGAAGAAAGTTCCACATGGTTTTCCCTGTATGTAGTCCTCTGTGATGTTTTTGGAATGAATAAAACCTTTCTATCTATTGAGAAAAAAGTTAAGAAAAATTATTCGTATTGCTAAAGTTAGTCATTTAAAAAATTAAACAAAAAACAGAAGTTACAAACCACACCCCAATGCTTTTAAACTATTCGTGTAATGTTTCTGCTAAATTCTTTCATAAAAATTAGGATTCTATCATATGGGACATGAAGTTAGTTGAGTGCAACTAAAGGCAAGAAAGACACAAACCCATTTTTCGGTTGTTTTAGATAAAGTACTATTTCCTTTTCCTTTTGGGGATGCGGAGGGGGTCATAGGAAGGAGAGGGACACATGGTTTGTTTTCCAACTTAGGCAATTTTTATATATGATATAGTGATTAATCAGCCACATTGACATAATCTTCTGTAGACTTGTACCGTCCTTTGCAGCATGTTCATCAGCAACTCTAAATTGGTATAATGAAAGTCTGATTGTACCAAATGGATCATATACTTTAACTGCCAGCAACTGCATCAAATGCACTTGTGCACCAATAGATCTCAAGTAAGCTACCCTTTGATTCTAGTTACATCTGTTTACAAATTTAGATTTGACTTTTAATTACTTAAATTTGTTCTAAATATGCAAGTGGCTTGATAAGCTATGGTTGATTACTATCTTAATTTAACCAGGATGCAATGTCTTCCTTCTGCACTGGATATCCCTTGCTATAATTTACGTTGCAAAGGATCCAATCTTGTTATTGGGGATGAATATGTGGAACATTCCAAGACTGGTTGCAATGTGAGCCAGTGTGTTTACCGTGGCCATAGGGGTGGCAAAATTCTGAGTAGGTAAGCAATTTGAATGCTCAGAATAACAGAATCAGGGACATACTCCAAAGAGAAATGGAATTCGAAACAAAAATAGAGTTTAACACTTTGACTATTTAAACCATCAGCATATGCTAAAATTCATAATATTTCAACTATACTATAATTTGATTTTCCCCAAAGAATAAAATATCTTAAATTTTTTAATTGGGATTTCAATTTTTGTTTACCTTGCTTTGATGAGATCTTTTTAACACAAATTTTATGTTTAATTTTTGCAGTATGATGAACTTTTCTTACCTCCAGTGCCCGGGTAATTTCTAGTAAACAAAAACATCTCAATAGCAAGAGCTGAAGAAGTTTCAGATTACTAATATGATTTTCTTTCTTAATTTTGTTTCTTTGTTGCAGCTAATCTAAGTAATAGTGGAGCATCATGTTGGCCTTCCCCATCACCATATCCTGCAGAGCCCTTGCCAGTTTCTGTGGCTGCTCCGAGAACTCATGGCCCTGGTGGAAGGCTTGGTCAATTTTTAACCATTGTATTGCAGTTGTTCTTGCCAAAACTTATCCTTTATTTTCTCATTTGATTAAGTGTACGTAATTGAGAATAAGTCATATCTTGTATTCAATTCAACCTCAACCTTTCCTCCATATAAGAAAAGAAAGATTTCACCATGCAATGGTACTAGTACTAGCTTTGAAGGCTATCGTCAAATTGCATATATTGTTATTCACCTAGGGCCATGAAAACAGATATTATCATCGTTATCTAACCGATCAATTCCTCTATATAACGTAAGTCATTTTCACTTATGTTTCTCAATATTTACCATGGTCCTGATATGTATAACTAAGTAGCGTTTCAGAAAAAATAGAAGAAGTTGACAACCTCCCTTTGACACATTTTTTAATTCTTTAGTTCTTAAACCATCGTGTGGTTTACTTTTCACTTATAACTCTATGCCTTTTTTCTTTTATGAATTATCCCTGTGATTTTTTTCAATCCAAATCCGTTTTTAACACTGTTAATAATTGAACCAATTTACTCATTTTGCCCGACTTGTATAAAAAATTGTCTGATATAAAGATTTGGGGCAACAACAACTATTTAGCTTCATTACAAAGACATTTAACAATCATGTATCCTGCCCCTTGCTAAGATTCCATAGAACGGACATAACATTCCTTACAAAAAAAAAAAAAAAAAAAAAACACACAAAAAATGTTAACATTCAAAATTTTAAATGTAATCAATTTTAAACAAAATGGATCTTTCTTTTATTATTCCTGAATCATTCCCTCATTGTTTCGCAAGCAGCAACCATTTTATTCTTTTTATATTATCATAAGTATTATTTAACGTCACTTATATTATTTTCATATAATTTTATATTATATTTTTAAGTAATATATATATATATATATATATATATATATATATATATTTCAACATTTTTTTCTATTTTAGAATATAAAAAAGTATAAGAAATCATATAAAAATTATGTTGTATAGGAGTCATTTCTCAAAGTATAAAAATTATCATTGCCCATTGTGAAATTTTTCCAGGCCCCTCCAACAATTATTGTTTTCCCATCTGTTACATGAATGTTGAGACTTTGCCATCATTTTTATATTTAGGGTCAGATTTTATTTTTGATAAACAAAACTCTAAACAAAAAATAAGAGTAAAATAGACAAATTAGCTCAATTGCAAACGCTGTTAAAGGTGGACTTGTATGGAAAAAATTCATAGGGAGGTAATTGATAAAATAAAAGCATAGTGGTATAAGTGATAAAAGAGTAAATCAAGAAGAATTTATGAACTTTTCCCCATTAATTGTTGAAATGTTCTTCAAAATTTTGAGGGGGAATTAAATGTAAAAATTCTAAAGTTAGGCAAGTTTTACAATTATGTGCTTGCTATCAAAATTTAGGAGGCAAGAAGCTTAAAATTATTGACAATTTTAAGTATCCAAAGCATGTATTTCTTAGTTTCTCACCATTATTTCTGAAACTAGCCGAAGGTAACACCTTCACAAGTAACTTTATTTACTAGATGCGAAGCAATACTCCATATTTTTTATTTAAGGATTAGTCTGCATTTCGATTTTAGGTTTCCTTGTCAAATTAAGTGTAAGTGACAAGTCAAATACTGGAGAATAGGGTACTAGTCTTCTAAGCCTAACAATACTGATATTGATAAAACATATACAAATCCGACAGTGAGAAGCAACTACAAGCAAACTCTTTGATGTAAGTGATAGCTATGGATCATAGGCTCTACCAGCAACAGATTTTGGCATGAATATCTTCCTCCAATTCTAGCAAAAATATCTGATCGATCAGTTACATTCATGTATTGTTGGACGCAAAACAGGTGTCATAAGATTTTAAAATACCATAATGAGATTGATATTAACATTGTACTAAGATTCCTCAATATTTTAAGCTTTTAGCCCCATGTCAGAGAGTTTTTGTATGGTAGAACATAATGTTTGTTCTCTCTATGCCTCTGTCCCCTGCCCCCTGTTGTTGATTTACATGATAGGATAGACTATCGGTGATATAGAATTTAGTGATAGGTAAGTTGTGGAATGGTGCGGAGGGAAGAGACTAATCACTGTGCAAGATTTTCCAAACCCAACAAAAACAAAAATAGCAACCTTCTCGGTTGCATCAATTATCTTGTCTATGCAAAAACTAGCGCAAATTATGATTTTGATATATAGAAAATGAAAAAAGTACTCTCATTTCACATAAAATAATTTTTATCATGTTTTTTTACTTCGATTTTCACATTCTATCTTTTTTTTTTCTTGTAATGGTGTGATTCACCTATTTTTTCTCTACAACATAAGATAATTATCTTACGTGAAAAGAGAGTAATAAAACCTATAGAAAATTTATTGGCCCAAAAAATATATAAAATTCTATGGTTAACTATTCTTTGGCTGATTCCTCGAATTTCAACACTCGAGGTTGTTTTGTATAGCCTATAGCTATCTGATTTCTTTTAAGTCTATCTGTTACATCAAAATTGCCTAAGTTGAGCATATACTACTTTGCAAAAATGACAATATGACTTTAACTATTCACCTCTTAAATTTGAACCCATTGGAAGCCAATATATCCGTTTCTCTCGTGGTAGGGATCATGTTATATACACCAATTTCAATATCAATTCTCTCAAAATCCTAAATCAAATGGATCCTTACTCCATATTAGTTGAAGGAGACTCAAATCCTTTCATCATTAATCAAAACACGAACATAATTGTTTTTTTTTTTGGATTACACACGAACATAATTAATTACAAGCAATAAAACAATAAAACAAATAACAATCAAATTAATACTTTTATCAGAAAAATATTTCTGTAATTAATGCAGATAAGTTATTTACATTTACTTTCAAAACAATGTCGTTTTGTGATTGAAAGATTAAAAAATTATAATTATAAAGACTATAATAATCCTGAAATAAATTAAAATTACAAAAATACCATATTTTTGCCCCAAAACGAAATCGTATTGAGCTTACTGCAAGAAAAAACGAATCTAAAGTGCCCCATGTGTTATTTTTAACTTCTATTCTCTTTAAAATTAAATTTTGACCAAACATAATTTTATAAAAGCTCTCATTATAAAAAAAGCTTTTTTTATAATGAAGAAAATAATTAAAAGTTAAATGCTTCCAGGATGGGCTTTCCTTTAGGATGTATAGCTAGCTTTTTTGAGTCCTTATAATTATTTTATAGTTTTACCCTTATTTTAAATTTGTATTTATAAATTTTATCTTTTATCCTGATAATCCATCTAAATAACAAATTATTCATCTTCCCTCATCCGAAACCATCAAAACAGGTTTATTGTGGCATATAATAGGATGAAACGAAACGCATATATCTAAAACCATAACTTTTGAGAAACCTTTTAATATTACTATATTTATTGTGGCATTCATAATATATATAAGTGGCTAACATAATTGGTTAAAAGACAAACATGCATAAGCGGCTTACTAAATAAAAAAAAATCTATTATTTATTTATTTTTGGTATAACTGAAGATATTGGCGGGGCTTGAATCTCTAATCCAAGTAAATCTTTGGAATCTTAGTTTCCAACTGAGTTACTTTTGATGTTTGGGAATCTATTATTATTAAAGATTCATATCACGTGAAACTATTTTAATCAAATAGGATTATAAAAAAATTATTTTGACAACAGCCAATTAAATCTTAAATTAATAAGGAGATTATTAAAAACTAATTTATTTTGAATGCTACGTCATCAAGCTGATTGTCAAGTTCCTAACTGCAAATAAACCAGAAATGTAATGTTCAGAATTCAGAAAAATAACAACATGGGCAAAGTTTAAAACTCATTTAAATATATTTTACAATAACAATCAAATTTTATGTATAATTTGAATTGTTTTAAAAGCATAGAATACATTTCTTTTAAGGTTCGCTTTTTCTGCGGTCACTGCAGATAAGTTATCTGTAGTAAGTTCAATACGACGTCGTTTTTAGGGGCGAAAATTATGGTACTTTTGTAATTTTAATTTATTTCAAGGTTATAATAGTTTTTATATTTATAATTTTTTTAAGATTTCAATACTAAAATGACGTCGTTTTGAGAATAAATGCAGATAACTTATCTGCTTTAACCGCAAAAACATTTTTCTCTTCACAAACATTACTAGTATAATCACATTTTTATTTTAATGACAAATTTACTAAAACTTTATAAATCTCTATATAGCACAGAAATAAAATTAATGATTAGCAAATGACAAAAATTGATGGGTTTGATGGTATAAAAAGCTGAACCGCCAATGTACGACAAAAGGGAGAAAGCAAGGCCATAGCAAACACAAACCATGCTTTCATTTATTGTTTAGATTCCTCATAAAACAGAAGTAACGAACTGTAAAGCTGAAACTCTGTTAAAAAAAAAGTAGTTAACCAGAATCATATGTTATTCAGGCACTGCACTGCCAAGCATCTAATGGTTGAAAATGCACTATGACAAAGAGAAGAGAGGACAGAGAGAAGTGAAAGCAACCTAAAAGGGGGACCGCAAATAGGAATTTATAAAATTCTACTAGGAATTATTGAAATATAGAGGGAACTCAACAAAAGGGTCTTACTCAAAATTTAATACACAAGTGACTCTAGTAGAGACACTAAACCAGATGGGTCCATGAGAAATCCCAAAATTAAAAAGATAACCAATGAGAATTCAGAGAATAAGATGAACATGAAATCTCCAGCCAATGAACACTTTAGATGAGGTCAATTCGTGGGTCCCCAAAAAACCTCCATTAATCTTATTGTAGTAAATTACCAAAAGTGCATGTGCAGAGAGAAACCCTGTCCCCACTGAGTGTCTCCCTCACCACACTGTCAAGTCTCAACACACACACTAACAATAATTGAATCATTTGGGAATCGATCTAAATAGATAAATGAAACACAACTCAATATTCCATTGTTACTAGCATTTTCATTTTGAAAATAATAAATAAATAAACAAAACTCATCAGGTTCTATCTATGATCACAGACGTGAAAGCTGCAGGTGCAGGTGCCTTGGGTGCCAAGACAGCACGAGCGTGTGATAGCTGCCTGCGCAGGAGAGCGCGGTGGTTTTGTGGAGCTGATGATGCTTTCCTCTGCCATGGCTGCGACACTTTGGTTCACTCTGCAAATCAGTTAGCCAGCAGACATGAAAGGGTTCGTCTTCAAACTGCGTCCTCTGAAAAGGTAACCACTACACACGCATGGCACAGTGGATTCACACGCAAGGCAAGAACCCCACGTCACAACAAGCACTTGGCTCTGCAACAACGTCTCAAAGACCATGTGTTCTTCAACAACTCTAGTTTTCTTCCCGTTGTGCCAGAGCTCGGAGGTGAAGAATCACCGGTTGATGATGAGACTGAGGATCAGCTCCTTCTTCGTGTGCCTGTGTTCGATCCATTCGATGTTGAACCTTGCAATATATATAACCAAAGGAAAAAAGATGCTGGTTATGAAGAAGAAGAAGACTGTGACTTGGACAATTTCTCTGAGTTTCTCCCATCAGACATGGATCTTGCTGAGTTTGCTGCTGATGTTGAAAGCCTACTTAGGGGTGGGTTTGATTATAAAGAAGAAGATGAAACAGATAAATATGCCAAAAGTTCAATGGTTAAGGTTAAGGATGAAGAACTTGATGCTGATACGGGTTTTGATTTGGAGTCAGTTCTTGACATGACAAGCAAGGATGCCTTTCATTGGAACATTGACTCTGTGCTGTCACCGGCATCAACTGCAAAGGAAGAGGAGGAAAAGGTGGTGGTGGTGCCTGTGATGGCAAGTAATACTAGTGTGAGTAAAGAGGGAACAAAGAGAGACATATTTTTGAGACTAAACTATGAGGAGGTTATTACTGCTTGGGCCAGCCAAGGTTCTCCATGGACAACAGGAAAACCACCTAAGTTCAACTCTGATGACTTCTGGTCAAACTGCTTGGTACTGATTATTTCTTCTCTCGATGATCTCTCTTATTCATCTTAATTTGAGTATAGCTACCTAGCTACACAAATCTAATCTTCACAATTGCACAAGTGGGGGATGTTCTTTTTTTTCCCACACTCACTTTATGACTATATATATGTATCTATGACTAACATGCGAGTGTTTGTGAATTTCAGGGTTCGAGTGATGCAGATGGGGAAGTAAGAAGCTTAAGGGGGCACCTAGTAGGGAATGGAGATGGAGGTAGAGAAGCAAGAGTATCGAGGTACAGAGAGAAGAGAAGGACTCGTTTATTTGCAAAGAAGATTAGGTACGAAGTAAGGAAGTTGAACGCTGAGAAGAGACCTAGAATGAAAGGTCGTTTTGTCAAGAGGACATGCTTTGTTGGAGCCACTGACTTTCCAGCTTACCACTGACATCAATCAGCAGTTAACTTTCCCTGTTTGCTCTTCTGCAAATTTGGAATATTGTCTAGTTTGGCTATATAATTAATTAATAATATTAATTACTGGGTCAGGTTTCACTAGAATTGTTGCTTGGGGATATTTCTATGTATCTCTAGCAGGACTAGTGCTAATGGTGATCCTTCTCAGCAGCAGGTTGAAGACTTGGGTAATCTAGTTTTGGAAGGCGCCTTTTATTGTTCCTTATTAGAAAATTCAATCATTCCATGCTGATGCTATGAATACCTAGTAGATTTTTTAGGATACTGATTAAAATGTTTAATATCAGGTCGAGATGACTATTAATTATGATTATCTCCAAGTTACACATCTGCTCGCGATTTCCTTTTTTAGTAAGTATCTGCTCGTTATTATTTAGTAAGTTACACGAAGAATAAAACAACTGGAGGATCGGCGTTAGAAAGATGAATGATTCACACAAATTTGAACAAAATAACCATTAATCTTCTAAAGTTATGCACAGAGACAGAGTGGAATTTGAAATTCATCTCGATGGTAAGGGCTGGGTTGGAATAATCAATGCAATTAATTCTTTTAAAAAGTATACGGAAGCATGGTTAAGGGGAGGCGAAGCTACCCTATTACAATATTATTAGGGCAATGCCTTATTTGTTTTGACCCTACATTTCAAATCAATTCAATCCAACTCCAGCACAACTCTAACCGCTAGGAGATATAAAATGAGGGCTAGGACTAAAGTTCTTATTTTAGTGGATTTTATTTTCTATGAATTCTTAGTTGAAGTTAAGATACAATTAATCTTGTCAGTCACTATAAGGTCATGGAAAACCAGAATTCCCTATATATACGTATTATATAATAAGATCTTTCATATTTCATGCATATATTTGGTGCCCCTACTATGCGTTGACTTCATCGTATCTATAATCAAACCATGGAATTGATGAAATGGTTGAACAACATAGATGTCTCAATTAGAAGAGTACCAAATATGCTAGCTGTTAAGAATCTTGGGATACATCACCCCAAAAGCTAGCTCAAAGAATGAGAGATTAGTTGCTCATACAACCAATGTGAGACTATATATCTCAACACGCCCCCTCACACAAGAGCCCATTGGGCTTGAAGAGTGGACAATGCAACAGGCCCTGCCTACCTGTGCTAAGAAACGCCACATGAGAAAGTGGGGGTGGCGAGGCTCTGATACCATGTAAAGAACCTTGGGATACACCACCCCAAAAGCTAGCTCTAATGGTGGGAGTGCTCAAGGCCTTATGAACTCCACATTAGTTGCACATACATCCAATGTGGGACTACACGCACGCCCCCTCACACAAGAGCCATTGGGCTTGAAGAGTGGACAATGCAACATGTTCAGCCTATCTGTACTAAGAAACTCCACAAGATAAAGTGGGGGGCGGCGAAGCTCTGATACCATGTAAAGAACCTTGTGATACACCACCCCAAAAGCTAGCTCAAAGGGTGGGAGTGTCCAAAGCCTTATAAAGGCCATATTAATTGCCCATCCAATCAATGTGAGACTATATATCTCAACACGCCCCCTCACGCAAGAGCCTTTAGGCTATAAGGGTGAAAATTGCACAGGCCCATTCTTTGGTTTTACCTCTTTGTGCTTTTTCTTTTAATTCCACTTTAAAGAGGGGGACGGTGAGGATCGAACTTGTGGCTTTGTAGTCACTCAAACTCTGATACCATGTCAAAGAATCTTGGGATACACCACCCCAACAGCTAGCTCTAAGGGTGGGAGTGCCCAAGGCCTTATAAATTTCACATTAATTGCACATACATCCAATGTGAGATTATATATCTCAAAACTAGCAATGTCATAATGTAGTCTGGATCTCTTCCGATTAGTGCATGAAAATGGATCCATTGATTTTAATTGCAAAATTCATTTTTGTCTCCTGTCACTGGACTGTTGTTAACATGTTTGGATCATGGAACTAGTAATGCATGCCAGCTCATAACATCGAATGGAAAACAAAAACATTTCTGCTACCACAAGACCATGACCTCTTTTAGGAAGCATTTGGTATATGAGATACTTTTTTTACCAGAAAAAAAATATTACCCGCAATATGATGTGAAATATTTGTATCTGAGTAAGTTAAGAAAAACTGTTTGGTAGGCAAAAAACTTATAAAAAAAATTGGGTTAATTTTACTGATGTTATGTTTGGTTTGTGATAAAATATTGATGAAAATCTTAAACAAAATTATGAAATTACCCATTCTTTTGAACTTTAAATATGTTCTCTTTCGGACAACTTATACTTTTTAGGGCATTTTGGTCTTATGATTGAAAAACGGGTCAGTCCATTTTGAAGATTAAAATAATACCATGGTTCAAAGTGCATTTTTTATTTCAGAGTCCAGTGCAAAACGTATTTCATGGGCAAAATAATATACCAGTATTTGTTAAATCCAACACAAACCAAACATGATAAATATATTTTATCTACATCACTTTTCAAAAAATTCTATTATATTTAATATTAGGACACCAACTCAACATGATGTGTATGTTTGGGTCCAAGGCCAGTACGTACAACTTGAAATTTGTCTTTCTGATATCCCAAGAGCCACTTAAGAGCGGAAGAAGACAGATCCTGAAATGCATGTTTTGTTCTCTCTATATATGAGCAAATTGGTGGTCCAAAAATTTGGGATTAATGGGCCAAATTTTGTGACATAGATGGGCCATCCCACGACATATAATCATCATCATGACACATTTTATAAGATAACGTGGAGAATTTCTTCGGTTTTCAGTGCTATTTCTGTTTAAATATGAAATGTGTTTTAATTTTGTTAAGTCACTCTCTTTACTATTATTAAAATAAATTATTTATTAATGATTTAATAAAATTAAGACATATTGTGAATGGAAGTAGCACTAGTTAACGACGAGAGAGTGTATGGTCCCTGGTCCCTCCCAATCTCTCCTAGTCCTTTAAGATTCTTTTTTATGAATCACTTTCTTTTTCTGGGTCCCTCTCTGCAATTGGCTTTCCATTCACAGGAGTATTCTACTTGTTTTCCTTTTTACAACTTCAAGTTGAAGCTTTTATCATGGTCTTTCCTGATTTGAGAGGTATGCCTAGGATTTTATTTTTTATTTTTTTTCCGCTCCGATAAATTTTGTCATAAACACCATAGATGGTTTTGACTCAAAGTTATTTTTCTTTCATAATATCTAGTTCAGTTGTTTGGCTTTCCTGACATTCAAACCACGGAAATTTTTAATATTCACTGGGTCTACCAAATATTTTGCGCTCCTTTTTCTTTTTTTTATAAAAAAAATACTCTTAAACCCCTCTCATTTTTTATATTTTCTTTTCAATCTTTTTTATTTTCCATTTTTGGCCGGAGCACCATACTCTCGGTCCATGAAAGAATCGCTCTCAAACATTGGCGGACTCACTTGCGGGCATGCAGTCATAAAGTTTTTGATTTCAAATTTTTTTTTTTTGGTTGTAGATCCTTATTTGTCTCTTGATTCGATATATATATTAGGAATAAATACCCTTTTAAGTCCTTAACAAAAAATATGGTCCACATTTTAGTCCCTTACAAAAAATAATTAGTCTCGAGGTCCCTAAAAAATTTAAAGTTGATCAATTTAGTTAAAATTGTAGTCCCTCACAAATTCAAAAAAGACCTAGATTAGTCCCTCAAAAAGACCAAAATGGGTCCACTTTGAATTTCATAGGGATGACTAGTTTTTTTTTATAATGGACTAAAGTGGGGACCGAATTTTTTGTTAGGAACAAAAAATGATATTTATTCTTATATTAGTAGCAACGTAGCAACTTATGGAGATGATTAAAACAACGTAGGAACGCAAATTGATTTGAGAGAAAACTTATTCTTCCTCCCCTGTCACGTACCCGTTCCCATACTTTCTCCATCCTTTGTTTCCTTTTTCATTTTTATAAAAAGAGAAGATTGATTGCAGGTCTGACATTCTCAAATAAGTTAATATCTAGAGACGAGGCCTTCACTGTGTTTTGCTTGTCTTCTGTACAGGTAGTGTTGACTTTTTTATTCACCACAATAAAATATGAGTATATTCTCATATTTGTTTTGGAAGATTGGTAAGATTTAGGGGAAAAAATAATGGTCAAACTATTGTCTGCAGCTTGTTATGGAAGCAACTAGATTATGAGCGGGCTCAAGCGTTGATTTAAACTTTCTTTACAAAAAAAATTCGAAGATGCTGCCCCGAACCTCCGCTACTAAATGTGCGGACATAAAAACTTTTTCCTGAGTCCGCTATTGCTGTCAACCCACCCATTCTCTTCTTAATTACCTTTTTTCCTACCACCAAGATAGATTTGGATTTCGCTATTGAGATAATTGTAAAACGTAGTTGGATTCTCAATGAAATTCATCTTATGAATTTAAATTTAAATTTGATCCATTCTGAATGTGTAACCCTGTAATTTTTCAATACGTTATAACTAAAACCCCTACTTAGTAATACAAACAATGAAGTAGTATCTAGCAATATGTCACCATTACCCAGGTAACAGGATTAATGTTAATGATTTGACATAACCTATCAAATTTCTAGGTTAGCATACAATTTCTAGCATTTGTTGGTTGGTTGAATTTGTAGCATGCATCGCTCAATAATACATACAATGTGAGAAGAACAGACGCAAACAACAGCTAGAAAGTTTAATACGAAAACCCTTTTTCAATTCCTGCTGACCCTTGGCTTTGTGATAGGGCTACCAACATGACCTGCAGTGTGAATTGAGTGTAGAATAAAGAAAAAGAAGAAAAAATCTCATTCTTATCTTGCCTTTAACTCACTCACACTTGTTAGTTTCGGTGCTTATAAGGAGGAAAGTTAAAGAAAAATAGAATCACAACACGGGAGTTTGAGTGAGTAAGAAAAGATTTTGGTTTGATCTCTCCAATGTCATCTCGAGGAGTGACATAAAATCTTAATCCTTAACTTACTCCACATTTGGAATAAGTTTTATAGCCGGCTCAAAAAATTAAAGTTTATGAGGATATCTAAGGAAGCCTACTTGCCTCAAAAAATAATTAAGATTGATATAAAAAAATAGGTTCATTTTTTCTGCAGTCAATATAGATAAATTATCTATTTATCTACATTAAACTCCAAAAAGACAATGTTTTGAAGTGAAAATCATGATATTTTTATAATTATAATTTATTTTTGATTATAATAGCGTTTGCTATTATAATTTTTTAATATTTTAACTTAAAATAATATCGTTTTGAGAGTAAATACGTAAAAATATTAAAGAAAAAAATAGCAGATATTGTCTCTAATCATTATTG